TCAGTATTACATTTGTTTTGTGTCTCTTGTGAAAAAGTGTAAAAACGTTACTTTGGACTAGTTTAGCCATTATGCAGTTGCTTTAAGTAGGGCGAACATTTGTCCCTATATTCACCGGTCCTCCTGCCTCTTTACATGCCTAAAAGCAGTTCACTTTATACAGTAAACTGAATACGCACACTAGCTGTAAGACATTACCATCACAGTAAACATCACAATATAAACTGACGTTTATTATAAACATGTTACGTATTTCTTAAAAACAAGCCTCTACAAAACATATCTGAAAATTATTGGCTGTTGGTTAAATGACTTACATTCAAAAGTCAGAACACGTTTTCCTATCTTTTTTTAAACATGACACATAAAATCGTATGTATTTATCGCGTATAACACGAAGCTTTAAAATATATTTACACACTGTGAAATGGCTACATCAAGCTAATTAATATCTGCATTACTTCAAATAGCTGTGAAGACACTCGGTATCTACTCTCTTAGCATGTTTCATATCTTTCATATCATAATCCAATTAACTTTGACCCAATTTTTCTCCATCTCTTGAAGTCCTGGCCTCAAGTGATCCTTCTGACTCGGCCTCCCAAGGTGCTGGAACTAAAAGCATGAGCCAGCATACCTGGCCCTCTATCTCTAACAGTGTGTAAGGCAGCCACTGGCGTCTGAAATACCTTCAAAGAATCTTTAGACGTGAAGTATAATACTAACGTAGCAGTAATTTTACCTCTGTGTCACACAAAATATAATACTGTGAAAACAGACACCCTATAGTTTGCATCTTAATTGAACAACATACCTGCTTCCAGCACTTTAGTGGGATCAAAAGTGGGCAGAGTCCCCTCCCTGACATCAGGACCATCTCCAGGCTCATCCTCTATCTTAAGCAGAGCCAGTTCCTGTTGAAAAGCTTCCATGTCAGGCCCTTAAAAGACAAAAAGGTCATCAGTTTACAAATTAAAACATGAACTATGCAAGAGAAAATGATAATGTGTAGTCCCTCATCATTATGAAATAAAAACCTGTAGGCTAATTATTTCAGGAGTCTGTTGCCAGGAAAACAGGAAAGCAGAGATGTCCAAACATTGCCCTTTCCTTTCCCAAGGCTGGCTCTAGACAACTTACTTGTCCCTTTTGTACTCATTTGTTCTTATTCTTATCACATTAAATCAGTGATTTGTTTGAGTCAGTCTGACTAGACTATGAGCTTTAGGCAAAAAATTGGCACTGACATCTCCAGCACTGAGTATGTTACATGGTATGAGGAAGCATTAATAAATGTGTATTAAAAAGTTTCTTTAAAAATACATGAGATGTCCGCAGATGGCAGACTAGGAAGCTGCAAGCTGCCATTCTTCCACAGAAACATAAAAACAAAACAAAACAAAACAAAAAACAGAAAATGGCCGAGCAAACCATACAGGAGCTCTGGAAAACACTCAAAGGTGTACGACAACCATGCAAATACCCTATGAATAAAACGCCTCTGTCAAAATGGTAGGAAAGTTTTGTGGCTTTTTATTTGTCCTTGTCCCACCCCTGCCCACAGTAGCAGCAAGAAATGTTTAAGATCCCTTCCTAATATTTTCTGTCTTCTTGTTACTGGTATGTCATAAAATATAATGCATAAATATACCTCCACCACCCATAAGTATTATTCTCCACTCTCCCTTCACCTTGAAGAGCAGGTGCTCCTTCATTTTCGATCTCCCCACTAGGTGCAATACCCTGATTTTCAGTTGGTGTTTCTTCTTCTTGACGTTTTTCCTCAGCGAGCTGCTGGACCTAAGGGTGTAAGTGTGTGTGCGAATAAAAACTCAATAATATAACTACACAAATGCATATGTGCATCGAATCATAAATCTAAAACATATTTCCAACAGATATATATATATATATATATATATATATATATAGAGAGAGAGAGAGAGAGAGAGAGAGAGAGAGAGAGAAATATCCAAATCCATACAGTTAACACCAGAATATGATATTCCTGAACCAAAGTTTCCTTCATGAGATGCCATCATCATTTTTTATCAGCATGGAACACCTGGACCAGTGCATGTACACTAGCTCAAAAACATTTTTTAAAATAAACTACGTAAACAGAAAACATCAAATGTTAAAAAACTCACAATCACAGATCCAACTGGTTGGGAAGACTCTTTGTCATTTCCTCTTTCTGAGGATTGGGATCTTGTTCTTACAAGCTCACTCATATTTCCCACTGAAAATAGAATATTGTTATTTGGAAAAAGTGTGTAAGAACTTAGCTACATACATGAAAATTCCATGGCAAAATGGTGATTTGTACTTTTTAAATATTAAAAATATTTTCAAAATAATTCATAGAGCAATGATAAGTACTCATGCTTTCCAATCAAACTAAGGACAGATTTGTTTGTATCATAGCTCAGAGGCATAGAAATCACCTTAACGCCATAGCAAAAGACAGAGGACGTTTCTGAGTTTTGGTTTAACAACTATACTCTCCACCATAAAGGCATTTAGGAAAAAATGGGCAGAGAATTGAACCTGAAATGACTACTGCTTTCGTCCCATTCTGATTTGCTAGGCCCATTTCACCCCCACACCCTTCCCAAAATCAAGTCTTGCTGGAAAGCACAGCCTCACCCATTCCTTCCCATGACGTTCATGGCGGAGGTGAGAAATTGTGAAACAGAGTGAACGTTATGCTCCTCACGGGACACCTCTGCCAGGCACTCTACAGACCTCAGGGCCGCAGTCACCAGCCCACAGCGTTCCCAGTTCCCAGGCCCCTTCCTTACCGAACACGCTGTCCCTTTCCGCGCCCCTACCTAGGAGTCTAGAAACTGTCCTGTCTCAGAGGGTTCCAGGAGTTTCCGGGACTCAGACACCTCTAACAGCACCCGCAGCACTCGCCCCATCTTCACGTGATCCCTCCCCTCTGCGGCCCACCTTCCTCCCTCGTCCCAGGTCAGCCACAAAGTCCCATGGTGGCATGGCGACCTGGGAGGAGCCGGAGGATGACTGCAAGGCCCTTTTCCCACAGAAGCGACGGACTGTGCTGCAGGACCTGTCCAAAGCCAGCTGGCTCCTCCACACATTCACTCACAACTAATTTCCCAGGAAGACTGCTCTGCGAACCTACCAGCTGCGTCTCAGTCAGTGAGAAAAAATCAAAATGGTGGAAAGAATGAAGACACAACCTCTCCCTGCAGAGATCTGCGCGGACAGAAGGTGGGCAGCAAGGCGCATGCGCAACAACAGACACGCGAAGAAACAGACATGCGCAGCAACAGGTCTCTGCAGCATGTGCACGGAGTGCGGCATTTGCCTCGAGACTGAAGTTTTCCTGCCTCTGTGGAGAACCTAAACCACCAGCGCTCCTGAAATCGAAAATGAACTTGGAAAGCACTTTTCTTTTTCTCCCGCCCAACCTTTCTTTCCCTTCCAGTGGCTTTGGAGAATATGAGCCCCAGCTTACTCTAATAATGTGTTTCAGAAAAATTCACCATCACAGAAATAAATCTTAAATATTTTAATCCCCGTTTTATATACGCTTCCAGAAATCATTTTCTTGCCTCCTTCACGAGTTTGCTGTCATGCTTGCAGTGGTCTTCCCCACTCCAATACGATAAGACATTCATAGTTCTTGGCTGCATTATTGTACGTTCAAAATCATTGATCCAGCTGCACAACATTACAGTGGTAGGAACTCAATCTTAATTTTTGAATCCCTGTTTAAACCACTGTTTTGAAATGACTCTTTTATCATCGCCTACATCCCCACTTAATTTTGTATGTAACTCTCTTCTTTTAATTTTCTTTCATTGAGTTGTTTATACCTGTATCATTACTACACTATTTTAATTGCTGTAGCTTAATGATATTAGAAATGTGAAGTAATGCTTGCCCTCCCTCACTGATTACTCCTTTTCTATCAATTCTGACACGTTGGTCTTTCAGATGAACTGCAGAATCATTTGATCAGGTGCTAAAATATTCCTGTTGAGATACTAGTTACCATTTTTATATCACATGTTAACTCTGGGACAATAGCCATCTTTCTATTTTAGAATCTCTCAATCAAAAAAAAGAAAAAAAAAAAAGCCACTCCTCAATTCCTCAAGTCTTTTAACATATCCCACACAATGACTGTGTTATTTTCTTCATATTAGTTCTTCACATTCAAATTAAATTTATTCATGGGCATTTTTATTTGTTCATTCCATTGCTCCCACGTGTTTGCTTTAACTTCACTATGTTTTTCACACAAGTCAAACAATCTCTGTTTTCAAACAATATGATTCCATACCTAGAAAATCCCAGACTCTCTGCCCAAAATCTGCTTGATCTTATAAACAACTTCAGGAAAGCTTCAAGATACAAAATTAATGTACAAAAACAGGAGCGTTTCTCTACACCAACTACCTTGAAGCTCAGAGCCAAATCAGAAACACAATCCCATTCACAATTCCACAGAAAGAATAAAATACCTAGGAATACAGCTAACCAGGGAGGAGAACCATCTCTACTATGAGAACTACAAAACACTGCTCAAAGAAATCAGAGATGACACAAACAAATGGAAAAACATTCCATGCTCGTGAACAGGAAGAATATTGTCAAAATGGCCATTCTGACCAAAGCAATTCATACATTCAGTGATATTCCTATTAAACTACCAATGACATTCCTCATGGAATTAGAAAAAAACAAACTACTTTAAAATTCATATGGAGCCATAAAGGAGCCCAAATAGCCAAGGCAATCCTAAAGAAAAAGAATGAAGCCAAAGCATCATATCACCTGACTTCAGAGTATAATACAAGGCCATTGTAAACGAAACAGCACGGTATCAATACCAAAACAGTCACAAAGACCAATGAAATAGAATACACAGCCCAGAAATAATGCTGCACACCTCACGCCTATTACCATCTGATCTTCAACAAAGTTGACAAAAACAAGCAATGTAGACAGGACTCTCTATCCAATAAATGGTGATGCATGTAAAAGATTGAAACAGGACCACCTCTTATTAAGAAAAATTAACTAAAGGTG